AAGACCAAGCTGTATCAAACCATCCATACAGAAATGTAATATATGACAATACATTGTCCTATATCAAGTGCAATACATGTCATTTTCACCTATGTATATTCTCGGGTAGATGAAGATATACCAACGTTTTTGTAACCTTTTAAAACTTTTCTAATTATGATATGAAAAGTGGACATTTTTAAAGTTTTTAGAAAAAAAAAAAGTTTAAATGTAACATTATATTTTAGATGAAGATGTTAGAATGTTGTAAGAAATGTTATTGCAACCTTCAAATAATGTGCATGCATGTGTGTATATATATATATATATATATATATATATCACATTTAAGAACGTCTCTCAAATGCATTTACTAAAATATTCTGCAATTCGAGATCACAATAGGGATAGGCCTAAGGCTCAAGCTGATATGTCATTTTTATTTGTAATTGAATGCACAAGTAAACGTGAGCACAGTGCACTTGTACTAGAAAATATGTGCTAATTTTTCGTTAATTTGTAAAGTATGAAAATGAAACCATGTTTAAATGCATAAAATAACTCATTTATGTGCTGTTGACTTTTTCACATTAGTGCATGTGTCACTCTGACACACGTGTTTCAATTGTAAAAGAGCACACAACAAACGTGAAGATCACACGTGTGCGTGTACGAAGCCTTAAACACAGTTTGCTCCCCATCCCACATTAACAAAACCCCACAATACAGCACAAATACAAACTACAATAAAACCACACATCCCTCGTCCGACCCCCAAATCCCAGCTGAGCCTCAGGTACTCCAGGAGCGTTCATGTAACTCCAAATCTTCCCTCGATTTCTAAGTCTTTCTGAATCCCTAAAGGTTTTCAGTGCTGCCTTTCTCTCGGGTTTCGCTGTTTTTGCGTTAATTTCTTCCTGTGTTCATGGAGAGCTCAGCCTCGTTGAATAAAATCAATCCCATGCAGTGCCAAAAAGCAAAAAAATCTCCAAATTCAAATTGACACGACAAACTTGTATTGCAGGAAGAGAAGTAACGAAAATAATAAGATGTTAGGTGTATGTTAAGTAAACTCTATATTTACAATATAAACACTTTATTTGTGTTAAAAATGTGATTTTGCTCCCATTACATCCCAGGTTACCTCTTTGGTGTATGGTGGGAACATGCAGTGACATTTTGCTACACATTAAATTTCTCACACTTAATTAAACGTAGGCTACTTTAAAACAAAACTGTAGCAGTGCACAAATTGAGTACAGATATGCAAACATTTTAATGTTTATTTCAGCTGTTCAAAAGTAGGGGGGCACCACTTGCCAACACAAATGAAGAAAAGTCACTTTCATTAATGTACATTTTCATTTGTCATACAACTATATGTACTTCAACTGGGCTTTATGCATTTTAGAATAATCCGTTACTCTCATACATTATCATTGTTTTTACATAATAAACTATATTCCTAATGCATATATGAAACCTATTTATTTTGATTTGCTGTAAAGTTGCTTTGCAATGATTTGTATTGTGAAAAGCGCTGTACAAATAAACTTGAATTGAATATGTATTTTTTGTAACGAAATACCACATAAAAAATCATCATATTAACATATGAACACATTTTACTACAGAGATTCTGTGTTGTCAACATGTCAGTAATGTTTTCTAAAGGTACCGCTGACTTGAGCAGGTTGCAAAATAAAGCAACTTCTCATACCTCAATGAAAGGTTGGCTTATAATCTCCAGATCACTAGTGAAGCACAACGACTCTACAGTGAGTTGACTCTTTTAATAACAGATGTTGTGAAATTCATGAATGTCTTGAATGATCAAAATGTATTATTCTTTTAATGGATTTGGTTTTTCTAGTCATTTCTATCAGCAGCCAGTACTGGTATTTTGATACCACGGTAGTGAATGATATTTACATTGTACTCTTCAGCTAACAGGGAACATTAATGTGGAACATATTCAGGTGAGGTAACCGGTTTACTGCTAACTAGTGAAACACTCCATTAAAATGACGAGCTGCAGCTCAAAATACACTCTTAAAAATAAAGGTGCTTCACTTTATGGAACCATTTAGACAAAAAAGGTTCTTCTATGGCATCGTGAAGCACCTTTATTTTTAAGAGTGTACATGTTAGATGGAAACATTGTGCTTTATGTTCAAGTTTGTACTGAATTCACTATATTTGAAATAGTTTGACACTGCAATTCAGTTGAAAATCAGCTGAAAGCATCCAGTCTCTCACACCATTGTAGTGGTTGTGAACCACTTGTGCTTTGACACAATCTGTATTGTTAAAAGCGCTATATAAATAAAGGTGACTTGACTTGACTTGAATTTACCAGTATATATTGTAATTAATATTTGAGAAATTATTGTTGTATCTGATTGTATTAGTCTATAAAGAGTGATAGTCAATGTAAAAAGACCAGATGGACACCAAACAGGTGAAATGTGATGAGTTGATTCACTGAGAATGATTCAGTTGAGTTGTATGTTTGTTTCAGTGCTCATGAATCAGTGATCTGCTGTTTTATGTAATTTATCTTCATGGAATATATACAGATGTTATTTACTGATATTATGTGGAAGTATAATAAAGTTATGAATATAAATAAGAATATATTATTTTATATTTCAGATTTATGTGTTCTCATTTATTAAAATATTTTCTATAACAATATTTCCCCCGGGTAGTTGTGTCCTTTCAACTGTGACTGTGTGTTTTGTGGCCTGTATATTGCTGTATTGTAATATTGAGTTTATTTACCCACGGTGACCCTCCTTTTGAGGTCATGAAAGAGCCTTGAACGTGTCTTAAAGTCTTTAAGTAATTAAATTAAAGCGTGACACCATAGCACATCCACGATGGAGAACAAATGCAAATGCACACACACACACACTCACACTCACACACTCTCTCTCACACACACACACACACTCACACACATACACATACACACACTCACACACATACACATACACACACACATATACACATATACACACACACACACACACACATATACACATATACACATATACACACACACACATATATATGAGACCCTGGACCACAAAAGCAGTCTTAAGTCGCTGGGGTCACTTCCCCCCCCCCCCACACACACACACACACACATCTCATTAAAAGACCAGTGGGAAATGCTATGGACATGTTATTATGTTTATTACTGACTTTTACGTCCAGTCCTTTCCTATACAGTAATAGAGTAAGACATTGTACTTTTATCCAAAGAGACGGCACTGTTTATCAATGGGACACTCAGGTTTGTTGTGTTTGTCTGCGGTTCTTCTCATGTTGATGGAGTTCAGCCTCCTCAAACAGGATCAGTCCCTCTAGTGAAGAAACGGAGACATTACAATAACAGTTCTGAGCAAGGTTTGACTGGTTAGCATGAGCTGTAATTCATAATCACACCAAATTCAGATTGTTTTATTAGCATGACATACTTTTGTATGTATTGCCAAAGCACTGCAGGAAGAGGAGAGAGAAAATAAAAAGACAACTTAATAGACACATTTGAATGTTCTTAGAATATTCAAAAACTAAACATTCAAATAACATTCTCTTTTGTTAGTAGAATGTTGCAGAAAGGATTTAGTAACATTTAAATAACATTATAATCACGACATTTTGATGTTCTTAGAATACTAAAAATAGACATTCAAATAACATATTTGAGTGAAATAAAGTTAGTAGAAAACGAACTGTCGTAAAAAAAAAAAACATTTTTGCAACCTTTAATTAATGTTCTAATCGCAACAAGAAAACTGGACATTTCATCATGTTAGAAACATTTCAAAACAATGTTCCAACAAAATTTTTATAACCTAAATTTGAATACAGTTTCTACAGTGTTTGTGCAAGTCTTACTAATTTCCTGATCTGTTATTTGTGGTTGAAATGGTCAAACTTTTTTATTTATTTATTTATTATTTTTTACAAATTGACAGTTTTATTCATCAACACATTAAATTGAAGAAACAGTAAAGACATTTATAATGTAAAAAAAAATAATCGATTTCAAGTAATCTGAGTTTTCATTCTGTATCTCTTAGATTGTGGCAGTCGTGCAAAACAAGGCCACTGAGGAGAAAGTGGCTCCTTTATCATTTAGAAAAACAAAACTGTAGAGTGAGTCTGTTGAGATGAGTTTTGATGAGATGAGTATTTCGGGAAGTGAAAGAAGAAGTGTGGTTAGTTGGTGGTGAATCTATATTTTAATAGTACAGGCTCTCTGCGGGTCTTAAAACGTCTTTTAAATGTCTTAATTTGCCCTTCCACAAATGAAAGCCTTAAAAAGCTTTCAAACCAAAGTAGAAAGTCTTAAATTCATAAAGGTATGGTATTAAATGTTGCATGCATGCAAAAAATAAAAATGGTCTCGTTTTCCTGCCCTAACACCCTTAAATCAAGATACATTTACTTGCAACATGCAAAATGAATTCAAATGTAATGGAGATCTGTTGGAAGTTGTATTTTCAAACTGTTGCTAATGCAGCTCATTTCTGCTGCCTACGTGTTTATGTTTAGAGAACATATTGACACATTGTGTTCATATTAGTCCTTAAATCTTATTTACTTGGTCTTAAAAAGGTGTTACAAATGGCCTTCGTAAAACCTGCAGTTTGCATGTCTGAAAATCATCAGGACCTGTTTGTAACAAACCCCTTAAACTGAGAAAATACAGACTGTCACTAAGGGTTTCTTAACTGTTTTCCTTAAGCTGTCTGTTGCAATCGGTTGCAGATAATCACTTTATCAACACTTTTTTTAGATGAAATAAACTTCTCATTTAATTCCTCTGAAGATGATAAAGCAGGTTGGCAAAAAAAAAAGTTAAATGAAATGAACAAAAAACTTGTCCTTTTATGGCATCAAACCCATGACTGCCCTATAAAGATTTTAAGTTTTTTATAAATGTCAGATAAAGAGGAGGATCCTGATGATCAGAAAGATATTTAAAGACGCATCCGTCACCTGAACATTCATGAGATTCTCAGCTCACACGGTGAGTTTGATTCTGGTCATTTTTAAAATGATGTTGTTGTTTTTTTGCATGTTTGGATGTTCATGTTCTAACAGAGTGATTGTATTTACTGTGTTTCAGGTGCACCTGATCCTCTGAGCTGGACGTCTGAAGCGATGATCACAAACATGATTGTGAGTTTCTGTATGTGAGAATGTGAGTGTGATTTTGTCAGACGTCGATCATCAGACTCAGATCTTGAGTTTGTGTCTCTCAGGTGTTGCTGTGTTTGTCTGCGCTGTTTCCCGTGTTGATGGGCACTGAAGAGGTCAAATCAGATTGTTTTCTTGCCAAAGACTGCTCTGATGTTTATTCGAGTGGGAAAAATGCGAGTGGCGTGTACACTGTCATCTCAATGGATGGGCCGCTGCAGGTCTACTGTGAGATGGTCTCCAGTGGAATAAATGACAGAGGACACTGGACGGTACGCATTTCACTTTGAGCTAGTGTTTGATTATCTTCAGACCTGATTTGATCAGCAGATGCACCTCAGAGTGATTCCCATGCAGCTAACGAATGCAGGTTATAAAAACGTCGTGAGAACATTGTTTTGAAATGTCCATGATTAGATAGTTAGGTTGAGAGTTTTGCAACATTCTAGTACCTGTATTTTCACCCAAAATGCATTATTTAAATGTTTATTTTTAATATTCTAAGAGCGTTAAAATGTCCAGATTTTTGTCTTGAATGTTATTTAAAGGCTACAAAAACATTTCCACCAAAATCATAATTTTATGTTAATGCTTATTTTTTTATATTCTAAGAATGTTTAAAAAAAAACAGTTTTCTTGTCATAATTGATACCATTTGCATAACATGTGTGACCCTGGAGCACAAAAGCAGTCTTAAGTCGCTGGGGGATATTTGTAGCAATAGCCAACAATACATTGTATGGGTCAAAATTATACATTTTTCTTTTATGCCAAAAATGATTAGGATATTAAGTAAAGATCATGTTCCATGAAGATATTTTGTAAATTTCCTACCGTAAATATATAAAAACTTAATTTTTGATTAGTAATATGCATTGCTAAGAACTTCATTTGAACAACTTTAAAGATTATTTTTTCAATATTTAGATATTTTTGCACCTTCAGATTCCAGATTTTCAAATAGTTGTATCTCATCCAATTATTGTCCTATCCTAACAAACCATACATCAATGGAAAGCTTATTTATTCAGCTTTCAGATGATGTATAAATTTCAATTTCGAAAAATTGACCCTTATGACTGGTTTTGTGCTCCAGGGTCACATATAGGCTATTATTAAGTATTATACAAATAGTCACTTAGTGCTTTTATTTGTGCTCTACTTCTGAGCATGAAATGTTTGTTTTTTGCAGCTGTTTGGTGACGCTAATGAAATCACACAACAGAATTTACATTTGTTGCTAACGAACGCCTGTCAACTTTCAGAATAAAACGTTTTTTAATGTCGTAAAAAGTCAAATAGGTAAATGACGTGAAATGTTGATTGTGTGAAAGCAATGAATGATTTCTGATTGTCTCAGGTGATTCTCAGGCGGATGAACGGCGAGGTGAATTTCTTTAGGCCGTGGGAGAGTTATAAAAAGGGTTTTGGTAATAAAGACGGCGAATACTGGCTGGGTGAGTGTTTTTGTGACGTTTTGGACTCTTGGAAAACTTGGACATTTAATCAGGACTGCAGTATAAATGCTGACTTATATTTGTTCTTTGATTTACTAAACTGGTTTCCGTTCATGTTTTTAACAGGTTTAGAGTTTCTTCACCAGCTGACGCACAGATATCAGTATAAACTTAGAGTGGATTTGGAGGACTTTGAAGGGAAGAAGGCTTACGCTGCATACGAGTCTTTCTCAGTGGACTCTGAGGCTGATGGGTACAAACTGCATGTGAGCGGCTTTGTAGATGGAGGAGCAGGTGAAACAAACCACAGACGTTTCATTTTCCAGTTTTTGGTTGTGTGATCCTAATGATAAAGGAGGAATAGAATCTTTTAAACCATGCTTAAACTAATGCTTTTTTAAGTTATTTAAAAAAAAAAGTCATCTTAGACGTCCAAATGAAGGTTTCTCCTTTCTGCAGGTGATTCTTTGAGTTATCACAATGGAATGAAGTTCTCCACCTTTGACAAAGACCAAGATCTTTGGAGTGAAAGCTGCGCTATGAAATACTCTAAAGGAGGGTTTTGGTACAACGGTTGTGATTATACAAACCCCACTGGTATGTATTTGTGGGGGAAAGATGATGGCACTTTATATATTGGGACTTCCTGGTACTACTGGAAGAACAGCTATAAATCTATGAAGTCCATCAGCATGAAGATCAGACGCGTGATGTAGAGCAGGCTCACAAACGCTTCACTGCAGCTTGTGCACATCCACGTCTTCATGCATACATGTGGATCTTTCTTAAAATATGGTGACAAATCAAATTCATTGTCCTCTTAAATAAAAATGTGTTGAAATTGGGTTCTGCATGCTTTGTCTGCTTTGACTTTGAAGCAATAAATGTTTATGCAAAGCAGTATGTTGTTTGTGTGTTTTTGAAGTATTAACCAACTAAGGAGGCAATGCTCATGTGGACTTCACGTATGATTTAAAATAGTTTATTCGGGGTTTGCGAAGGTCAATTTTTGTAACGTTTTTAAGAGTAAATCAAATTTAAGGACCGAATTGAAGGGAACACAATATGTCAGTATGTTCTCTAGGGAGCAGAAAATGAGCTGCATTAGCAACAGTTTGAAAATACAAATTCCAACAGATCTCCATTATGTTTTAATTCATTTGACAAAAAAGCTTGAATATGGAAATAACTTCTACAGCATTCTGCAGAAAAGTACTGTTCTTCCTCAGTGTTTTTGTCTTGTTTTCCAGTGCAAATACAGTTTGAAGCTAAATGACATGTTTTCTGAGAAACTGATGAAAATGAAGTGAGTTCACGATTAAAACGAACAAATATCTGCCAACAGGCTCAGAGAAATCAACTTAATTCAAAGGGAAAACATGTTTTCATAGCTCACTGTAGGGCTGGGCGATAAAACGATAACAATATCACTCATTAGAACATGCAGAAAGTAAGAAATACATTTTTCTATTAAGATATTTATTTTGTTAAGCAAAAATGACTGGAAAGTTGTAAAGAATTCAAAAATGTGAAGTGTTTTTGTCTTTCACTTAGGAGCAAAAATGTGCTTTTAAACTAAATAAAGAAATAAAGATTTGACATTTATTGTGATAATTATAGATATCGACTGATAGGAAAAATGTTATTGTGATCATTCTTTAGGCCATATCACCCAGCTCTAGCTCACTGACAGATATTTGTTATTGTTTCGAGAATAAACTCACTTAATTTTGTTCACTTTCTCAGAAAACAAGACTTCAACTATCTTCATTTTGCATTTCTAGTAAACTTGTCTTGATTTAAGGATGATTAGATATTTGTACTGGAAAACAAGTCAAAAATACTCAGCAAGATATTCTTTTTTTTTTTGCAGTGCATGCAACATTTAATTTTAAGGCCTTAATTTGTGGAAGGGTGAATTAAGATTTTTTAAAGACCTATAAACCTAGTTTATTATGCAAAAACAGTGATAACGTATGAGAGTAAGCTAGTAACATTATTCTAAAATGCAAAACCTATATATATATGTGCTTAAAATAAATATGTACTTTTATCTGGACCTTGGCCAGGTATGAACTGGCGATAGATAGAACTGAGATTTTTGTTTTCAAATGTTTAGGTGAATTTTAAGTGAATATTGTAAAAATGAAGTGTTTTAAAATTAGTGCATTTACTTTTGTCAGTTTTGTGCTTCTCATTTGCCATCATTAAACTGTACCTCTGCTACCTTCTGGTTAATTTCTAACGTTTTCTTAAGAAGATGCCAGTGATTTTAGCAGGTTGCAAAATGAACTGACTTCTCCTTCTGTGACAGCTGAACCGTGACTCACTGAAAGATATTCAAGATTGGCTTAGCATCGCTGGATCGCTAGTGCGATGAAGTTGAAGCACAACTATGACTTTGATGATGAATCAAAATCTTCATATCGGGTGTTTTGAAACTCTTCAAATGTTTCATCAAAACACTGTGGCTTTCCATCCACCCCTGACCTGCTGCGACCTTTACCCTGGACAACAGGACATCATCATCATCTCTGGTGAGGAAGAGGAGGAGAACGCGATTAATGACGAAGGGCCGCATATACTCACTTCCTGCAGTGAAAACATCCATCTCCTGTTGTCTCTCACATCAAAATCCAGCCACATATTTGTTTAGAGCTGTTTAAACGCTGCTTGATCTGTGCAGATTTCTCTCCTGATTCACACCAGATCACTTTTTCGCTGGAGGAAGCGTTATTATGGATTATGGACACGCATTTTAGTTAAAAACATCTTGATGATGGATTTGTTTCAGCTTTTGTCTTCTCCAGATGTTAACTGATGGACTGGAGTGCTGTGGATTACTTGTGGATTATTGTGATGTTTTTATCAGCTGTTTGGACTCTCATTCTGACGGCACCCATTCACTGCAGAGCATCCATTGCTGAGACACTGATGCAATGCTACATTTCTCCAAATCTGATGAAGAAACAAACTCATCCTGATCTTGGATGGCCTGAGTGTTTACTGTGCTTTGGTATTTTTATTCCTAGTTATTTACCTAGCGGCAAATATAGTCTCCCACATTCACAGAAAATAGCTTCGGCATTGCAAAATAAGGTGGATAATTTCACATGATATGTGCAAGGATACAAGAAGGCCTTTTTTCTTTCTGGAACAGTAGTTCCACCTCAGAATGACTGTTTGGACACTATAGAGATTTTAAGGAAGAAAGGCCCTTTCACACCACAAACGATAACGTCTCGGTTACGTATGGTAACCCTCGTTCCCTGAAGGAGGGAACGGAGACGTCACGTCGGATGACCGACGAATTGGGATCTCGCTTAGAGAGACCAATCTACTTAGAGTGTAAACTAAACGAGCCAATGCACATTGGCATGCGATTATTGCATCCAGCTGCCGCTGATCACAGCGTGAGTATAAGTAGGCAGCAGGGCCCGAACTCTAGGCACGAATCGTTGACCGAAAATGCGTGCAGGTCCCCTACCCTCTTGATGGAGGCCAATGCCAGCAGGAGCAAAGTCTTCATAGAAAGAAATTTCAGTTCGACCGTCTGCAAAGGCTCAAATGGGCCCTGCTGTAGTGCTGTGAGCAGCAGAGTCAGGTCCCAAGAGCGTATAGCGGGGGGGCGTGGAGGATTTAGTCTTCTCGCCCCCTTAAGGAACCTGACGACAGGGTCATGCTTCCCCAGCGACTTCCCTTCTACGGAGGGGAATTCCTTACCGTGACCGTAAGACCAGTCCGCCCACTGAGAGAAAAAGGGCACCCCCGGCTGCCACCAGAGGGAACCCCAGATTTAGGCAGTGGCACGAGCACTCCGCCCCCTTGCAGGTAATGGAGTCTGGTCCGCAACTCCGAGATGGTCATACCCCCGCAATGGGAGCATGAGTCATCCACGAAAGCCACCTCAGCATGCTTCATGCCGAGATACGAGAGGCAGCGATCGTGACCATCACCCGGCGCCAGGTAACGACCGCACCCAGAAACATGGATGGTAAGACATCAAAGACGCGTCTTTAAAAAGACGTTCCACCCGTGAAGCTCTTTTAGATGGGAATTGCTCTTTTAGTGTGCTGAAGCGCACAAGGGAGATGGCCGTCTGCAACACACACAGGGGGTAGTGCAGCCTGATGTGTGCAACCCACTCGACATGGGAAAACCACCGCCGCTGAAGCGCCGTACCACCAGCACGAGAGCCCACGAAGAGCGTGCTTGACTGTAGCTTTTTCTCTAAGCAGAAGGTCAGGAGCAGAACAATAGAACCGCTCAGCTCCGAAGCGAAAAGCTGAATATGCGCTGCATCTGCTGCCTACTTATACTCATGCTGTGATCAGCGGCAGCTGGATGCAATAATCGCATGTCAATGTGCATTGGCTCGTTTAGTTTACACTCGAAGTAGATTGGTCTCTCTAAGCGAGATCCCAATTCGTCGGTCATCCGACATGACGTCGAGAGTGACCGACTGAAAGGGAGCTATGAATATTACTGTATTAGCGTCCACACCAACGCATGAACATTCTGTTTATTTGCCGTCTGTCTCTTTAAATGCTCGAGCTCTTTAAAGTCGAGTGAATTCTGATTGGCTGTCAATGTTTTTATCGTTCAGCAGCTGGAAAAAAACACTTTCTCTTTGAAAGGGAATCCAACGATATCATTCCTTTTTCGAAATTAGAACGACTTTTAAAAGACAATAGTTTTATCGATGTAGTTCTTGGTGTGAAGTGCTATAATGAAATTGCATGCATCATATTTAGGCTTTAAACTCTGCAAAATGATTTTGATTGAGATGTTGTGGAGCTTAAGTTAATTTGAACACAGAGCACTGCTTTTTTGTATAATTTGTGTAATATTTTTGATGCATACGTTAGGGGGCGCTGCTGCATCTGAGTTCCCCTTCTGGTTGATTAATGGTTAATTGCACACCTGTGGACAATAAATACAGTAATTGTTGTATGGTTTTAAAAAGGGAGTGGGGAAGGATAGCGTTAGTGAAATCATTCAATTTGCATTTATAGTGTTGCTGACATACCTTCAATTAAAATATGGGCAATTACATATGTAAATTCATATGCCTGTATGTAAGTATTTTCCTAATTCATAAATGAGACCTGTTTAGTTGGTTAATAATAAAAAGTCGTGAACCCAGTTTCAGCATATTGTTTTTTAAGAGGACAAGGGATTTTTCAGGAACTTGTCAAATTCTTATTTATATATTTTTATGCAAGACAACATGAGTGAAACTATTTCATATGTGGGGTTTCTTGACGTTTTAAAATATTTTTCATCATTAAAAGTGAAGGGAATTGTTTGTCACCATATTTTAATAAAGATCCACATGCATGCATAAAAGTTGTGGATGCGTGCACAAGCTGCAGTGAAGCATTAAGGCTCGTGAAGCACATATGAAGGACGGAAACCCTGCTCTACTTCACACGTCTAATCTTCATGCTGATGGACTTCAGAGAATTCCAGCTCTTCTTCCAGTAGTACCAGGTGGCTCCAGTATTTGTCACTCTATTATCTTTCTCCCACAGATAGTTACCAGTGGGGTTTGTGTAATAACAATTTTTGTACCAAAATCCTCCTTGATAGTATTTCAAAGCGCAGTTGTCTCCTAAAAGATCTTGGTCTTTGTCAAAGGTGGAGAACTTCATTCCATTGTGTGGACTCAAGGAGTCACCTGCAGAAAGGAGAAACTTTCATTATAGAGGCACTTTCACCTGGACATCTAAAATATATATATTTTTTTTTTTAAATAAATAAAATAGGTTTTATTAGGTTTTAAACATTATGGTTTAAAAATCCTTTTAAAATTCCATTACTATCGTTTTATTTGATTAAATTCTTCATTATAAACATCTGTGGTTTGTTTCACCTGCTCCTCCATCTACAAAGCCGCTCACATGCAGTTTGTACCCATCAGCCTCAGAGTCCACAGAGAAAGACTTGTACAGAGCGTAAGCCTTCTGCCCTTCAAAGTCCTCCAAATCCACTCTGAGTTTATACTGATGCCTGCGCGTGTAACAGGTATGGAAAGTAATGTTAATTTCATATGCAGAATTACACAAATGTTCACGATGTATACCTGATATGCCGGTCTGTGTGTGCACCTTCCCCATGTTTTCTCCAGAGACAGACTTGATTGTGGAGAGGCAAAAGACTTCGTACACAGAATTCATCTGTTCGATGAGCGCCCGTTCCGCCTGCCCTATCGCCGAATACCTCCCTCCCACTACCAAAACTTGAGACAGGTTCTTTCTGAAATGGAAGAAAAATGCATTATTAGTAAATCCATCAGTGAATATGCATCTCCTTTGGTAATGGTTTGGAAGATTCAGGAGCTGTAGCGAGAGCGACATCCCTGGCTGATCACTTGAGTTCATTGATTCCTGACTGTCAAGATGTAACCCATGCCTTTTCATTGTCTGAATTGCAGAGTCAGCAGCACAATGATTCAGTTATTTCAAGGGTGGCCTTTTATGTCAGCAGAAAGCGCAGACCTTCCAGGCGTGAGCGTACGAATGAGGATTTGCGTGTTTTGAGATTGTTGAAGCAGTGGGACAAACTGTTTTTGCTTAATGACATTCTCTACAGAGCCATTAAAGATCCAATCACGAAGCATAAGAAGTTTCAGTTCTTGCTGCCTGATTCCCTGAAACAGCAAGCTCTTTCGGGTGTTCATGATTTGGCCCCTTGGACCCTGTCCTTAGCTCGCCAGAGGTTCTATTGGCCTGGGATGGAACGTGATGTGCGTGATTACGTCAAGACTTGTACTTGTAAGTAAAACTCCAGAGCCAGCGGCAAGAGCACCCTTGGAGAGCATCAAGACCACTACCCCATTGGAGCTTGTTTGTATTGATTTCTGGGCTGCTGAGGATAGGCACAATAAATCTGTGGATGTCTTGGTAATCACTGATCATTTCACCAAGCTAGCGCATGCTTTTCCTTGTCGAAACCAGTCTGCTAAGAGTGTTGCTAAGAAACTATGGGATGGATTCTTCTGCATCTATGGCTTTCCTCAGCGTCTCCATTCGGACCAGGGTGCCAGTTTTGAGAGCAAGCTGATAGCAGAATTTCTTGATCTTGCCGGTGTAGGCAAGTCACGAACTTCCCCGTACCATCCAATGGGAAATGGCGGAACTGAAAGGTTCAACAGAACATTGGGCAACATGCTACGATCCCTTCCTCCTAGATCAAAACAAAAGTGGCCACAGTTAGTGCAAACAATGACATTCGTGTATAATTGCACTGCCCATGAAACAACTGGGTTTGCCCCTTTTTACCTGATGTTCGGGAGGGTGCCAAGATTACCTGTTGATCTTATGTTTCAAAGTGTCCTTCGTGATGAGTCCATCTGTGATTACAACGAATACGTTCAATCCCTTGTTCTTAATTTCCTGTCTTTGCACCTCCTCTTCCCTTTCTGCACTGTCTCTGCATGGGAGAGGTGGGTTTCTAATGAGCTCTGATTAATCTAATTTCATCTTTGCTTTAAAAAGCACTTTTATACTCTGTTTAAATCATATTTGTGACATTATTTTATATGTATATTTGATTATTTCTGTATTTTCACTAAGTTTGATCAGTTTTCTGTCAATCAATGCACTTGAAGCACGTGCTAATTGCATTGCACTTTACATTCATTTAACAGAAAAGACAAGAAGGGCGAAAACACACTGTAAAGACTGTTTTATGTTTTATCAGTAAAAGAAGAGTCGAACCGTCAGCTGATGTCCGTCTGGTTACTACTCATTGGAAAAAAACACAACGCAGATTACACCGGTTACACGCGTCAGCTGATGCATGAACTCTACGCCTGTTAAAAACATTAAATGAAATTGGTTTAATAACCTTAATAGCAAACATAATCTGCATTTATACTGCAGTCCTGATTAAATGTCTTTGATTGTTTACTTTTTATCTCCCAAACATCACAAAAACACTCACCCAGCCAGTATTCGCCGCCTTTATTACCAAAACCCCATTTATAACTCTTCCACGGCCTAAAGAAATTCACCTCGCCGTTCATCCGCCTGAGAATCACCTGAAACATTCAGAAATCATTCATCACTTTCACATAATCACGTCATTGGTGTACAACCTTTGACAAGCTTTGTTCTGCAACAAATGTAGATTCTGTAGTGTGATTTCAATTACTGTTTTCTAAGAGCACAAATAAAAGACCTGAGCGACTATTTGAATAATAGTTTATTAGAAATCGTGGTGTCATTCACACTGGGGTGCATCTGATAATAAAATATCCTTCTGTGAGATAAAACACATTGAAATGCGTACCGTCCAGTGTCCTCTGTCATTTGTCCGCCGGAGACCATCTCACAGTAGACCTGCAGCGGCCCATCTACTGAGGAGACGGAGTACACGCCACTGGTACTATATCCACACGCATAAACATCAGAGCAGTCTTTGGCAAGAAAACAATCTGATTTTGACCTCTTCAGTGCCCATCAAGACGGGAAACAGCGCAGACAAACACAGCAACACCTGTGAGACACAAACTCAAGATCTGAGTCTGATGATCGACATCTGACAAAATCACACTCACATTCTCACATACAGAAACTCACAATCATGTTTGTGATCATCGCTTCAGACGTCCAGCTCAGAGGATCAGGTGCACCTGAAACACAGTAAATACAATCACTTTGTTAGAACATGAAAAAAACAACAACATCATTTAAAAAATGATCAGAATCAAACTCACCATGTGAGCTGAGAATCTCATGAATGTTCAGGTGACGGATGTGTCTTTAAATATCTTTCTGATCATCAGGATCCTCCTTTTTATCTGACATTTACAACAACAACAAAAAAAAAACTTCAAATCCTCATAGTACAGTCATGGGTTCGATGCCATAAAAGGAGAAGTTTTTGTTCAATTGGAAACCTGCTTTACCATCATCAGAGGAATTGAAAAGGACATTTATTTCAACATTGATTTTATCTGATTGCAACAAACCCCTCAAGAAAGTTCACCCCAAAATGAACATTTTGTCATCATTTATTTACCCTCATGCTGCTCCAAACCTGTATGAGTTTCTTTCTTCTGTTGAACATTAAATAAGTTATTTTGAAGAATGTTGGTAACCAAACAGTTGTTGGTAGCCTAAGGCTTCTTATAGCTTAAGGTGTTTGCTGACTTTTCCTCATGACTTTATGATATGCAGACATTAAAAAAAAAAATCATTATCATGATGTTGATGACTATAATTACACAACATTGCAGTGACATGCTGTTGGCTTGCTGTTAATGCAGAAGGTACGAAGCAAAATGTGTTTAACCACAGTAATGTTAACACTGAAATGCACTGGTTATCTTTCAATGAGATGCACATTACAGTTGCGTTCATTACTCTAGCAACAGTAGAAGCTCCGGTGGCATTTTATTTAAAGTGAATGCAGGGCCGGCGAAATTGTCTGCAAAATTTCTCACTTCTGCTCAAAATTTGAGGGTCAATTTAATACACACACAATCAGTCTATTCACGACGAAAGCGTCCAAACTGCAATGTTTAACACGCATATATGTGTGACTAGACAGTAGCTTGAGGATCCATCTGCAGTTTATTAGACACAACCAGTACAAGGCAGGGAAGTAGACAGTAGTAACCAACAGTACACGTAATCCAGCAAACGGGCAGAGAATCGGGGCCGGCGGCGAGCAATCACAGTACATAAACAGGCTAAAGGGGTCGGGGCTGGCAGCAAGAATCAGAATCGAGATAAACAGTCCAGGTCAATATACAAGCAGGTAGAATCACAGAAAATGCTCAGAAATGATCACCGGGGCAAATCAAGGCTTCGCACTGAAGAGCAGATAAGAGTGCCTTAAATAGGTGTGTGAGCGTGTGAGATAATTGAAGACAGGTGCAGGGTGATCAGTACCAGGTATGAAGGCTGATGGGAGTTTGAGTCCGAATGAGGTGGTTAATACTCAGGTGACGGCTCCCTCTGGTGGCGCGAGAGCTGTAGTGTGGGAGCCTCCTTTGTAACAATATGGAGCACATATATTGCTCAATGATAATGTGTGAGTACACCCAGCTGTTGTAACCCAATATTTGACCCAAAGTTGGGTTGAAACAACCCAGCATTTTTTAGAGTGTAAGCCAGAAATGGATGAATGTACAAAGATTTAAAGGAAGAAAAAAGTTGCGCCATTATCAGACAGAATCTGATAAGTTGCTTGAGTAAACAACAGGATGTTTGAAGTTTCTTCAGAAGTTTTGATCACCAGTGTCACAAGATGAAGCCTGCAGCATCATCGATCTACCCAGCTAACAACAAAATTCTAAACATGTTTTGCTAATGTTCCCATTAATAAAAACATATCTTAATGTTGTTTGAACATTCAAAACTTTTTAAGCATTATTCCTTGTTTACGTGAACATTAAGGAAACATTCCATTTTATCATTTTGCAAACATTATGGGAATGTTACTTTTGAATGTTCCATGAACATTCTAAAACGAGTAACATTTAAAAAAAAAAAAACATTAAATGAATGCTAAAATGATTTGGGAAAGAAATGTTCCATGAACAATGTTTTTGTGTTTACATTTATACACATTATTAAAGAGCAGAGAACGTTGAACAAACATTCTATTAATGTTACTGGAATAACGTTTGTTCATAACTTTATGAACGTTTGTTCAAGAACGTTCCCTGTTAGTTCTTAAACACCAGAACAACTGTTTTCAAATATTCAGGTGAATTTTGAGTAAATATGAAGTGTTTTTATAATAGTGCATTTACTTGTGTCAGTTTACTTCTCATTTGCCATCATTAAACTGTATGATATAAGCTATATCTCTGCTGTTTACATACTAATTACTAAAGTTTTCTAAAGAAGCCAGTGATTTGAGCGGGTGCAAAACAAACAAACCGAAATGATCCAACTTCTTCTGTGACAGCTGACCCATGACTCACTGAAAAATGATCAAGATAGGCTTACCATCGCTTGATAAGCTTTAAGCACAACAATGACTCCACTTTTTCATAACACGTGTTTTGAAATTCTTCCAGTGTCTTGAAATGTTGCAATTCTTGACCTATTGTCCAAGCAGCACTAGGTGAACTTCAGTCTTCAGTCAGAATACGTTATAAACACAGCAGACCAAACGAGAGCCCTATGCAGTCGCATGCAAGAGTGAAATAATGTCAGGTTTAAGGCCCAATCAGTCAGTTTAATGGTCTTATCTGTGTATTTGTCTACAGCTACTGGCATCATTTATTACAAAATATGGCATTATTTGAACACCTATCTTTAATATTCTAAGAACGTTACAATGTCCAGTTTTCTTGTCGTGATTAGAATGTTATTTAAAGGCTGCAAAAACGTTTCTCAGAACGTTCATCAAGTAAAAATAGCATCAGGACATTCAGAGAATGCTGATCTCAGAACGTTTTCTCTCAACGTTATGCGAACTTTAAACATGAATACAGTTATAAGAATGTTACATAAACATTACTTAAAGAGTGTTTTGTCCTAACATTTAGATACTTTTTTAAAAACATTAATGAGAGTAAGAACATTCCCTGTTAATTGAATAATGAGGCTGTTACCAATAAAATATAATCAGCATCAACAAAATCCACTTCTGACATGTTTATTTACTCAGCTGCTTAAATGTGGCATAAATACATTTATACAACAATTGCACAATGCTTTGAAATTGATGTAGTTTTTAATGAATGATGAATAAAATATAAATTATGAAAATTACAAAAATGTTATAAATGTAAAAACAAGAACTTACAAAAAATGTACAGAGGGCTGCAAGATAAAAACAAAATTCATTATTGTTGATTATTGATATGTAATCATGATTATTAATGTCAGTAAATAGAATACATTAAAAAAATGTTTATGCATGCCATATTCTTGTGGGTACACAGACAAAACAAGCTGCTTATGAATTAGTTTATTGCTGTTTTATGCATTAAAAGTTCAAGAGTTCACATTGGTTCGAGTTAAGGCTGCTCTTTGCCTGCTTAAAATTTAGTGTAAAGACACAATGCTGCATAAAAGCCAGGCTAAATTATTCCTGCTCAGACCCACCGTAGCCCCTTGTATATCAGAGTTGTAATTGCTGTGTTAACGCATTTATCCTCAGGCATAGACTTCTGTCCTCTGTAGAGTACATTATATTAGTGAGTTTCTACATGCCACAGTTTTAGGTCTGGATGTCCTGTTCGGAGCACATTCAGGCTTTTCAGGAGGTTTGATCATAAACACTCCTTCTCCTCGGTCTTTAAATATGACTGATATTGACAGAATGATCACATTTAGCACTCTTAGGCAAATATGATCATGTTTTGTAGCCTAATTATCAGTTAAATCTGACTCATTTTCAAATTGTTTCTCATAAACATCTCAGAAAAATGTTCTGGGGTTTCAAATCGTAAAATGACTTTTTGTTATAAAACGGGGAATAATTTTCATACGTGTCTTCTGCAGACGACAAACGGCTGTTAATCAGGCATTTTGGGGAAACACAACAAAAAAATTATAGATCAATATTCCTATGCAATATGAGATATTATTATGCCAAATTATTACTCCCATTATTACACTTCTTCTTCATTATGGTTTGCCACAAGAACACATTCATATGCAAATTAGATGCAATCTATAGATACATTGTATAGAATGGGAATACCAATTCATGGACATTTTACGCATATATTCTATAACAATATTATATCAAATCATTCTCTTTTATCTTAACATAGTTGAGAATAATCTTTGTGCAAAGTTTGGCTAAAAATAGCCTGAAATCTAAAAAACTGATTGGTGAAAGAAAAAATAAACATTGATTTTGCCTATACATGCCTTTTCATGTCTATTATTTATTTTTAATAACTTAGTCCTGGCGTCCTCTACTAAAAATCTGGATAAAATATATTTTTTCAAAAATGTTTCTTTTCTCCATTTGTTTCTTATCAAGCATGAACAACAAAATAGTTGAGCAAAGGGCATAAATGCAATATACTGTAATCTAAAGGTTGTGCATGATAATCAGGAGCCAATTCTGATACCAAGTTACACGTCCATAAACTGTATCATATTGCACACACACACACACACACACACACACACACACACAGAGAGAGAGAGAGAGAGAGAGAGGTGTGTGTGTGTTGTGTGTGTGTGTGTGTGCGTGTGTGTGTGTGTGTGTTGGTTTTTGTGATTTACGAGGACATTTTATATGAATACACGCAACACTACGAGGACATTTTGTATTATGAGGACAGGGCCAATGTCCTCATAATTCAGACAATGTAGAAGTGCTTCTATAGGTAGAGGGAGCTCTAATTCGAATTTTCTCCAAAAGCCCTTATAGTTCACAATTACCGGACTTTGTGTTAAGCGTGTGTATCGCGACTGCGCCCCTGTAGGTGGGTCTCGGTAATGCACGTCCTCATTAATATTCATACGTGTGTATGGAATCGCAGATTTTGATTGGCTGAGAGGCCAGATGTCCTCATAATTTCGGGCTTTGTCAAACCACTGTGTTATAGCGTATCCACACCAAGGACGATAACCATAAAACTATATTTGTAAAAGCGTTCTAAATATAAAGGAATAACAAAGTCCACACCACAACTATAAAAATCAAAGTATAGAGAAACAATATCGTTGGACTCACTTTCAGAACAATTAAACTTATGTGCCAGATGAATGATCTATTTTACCATTCTGTGCAAACTTTTAAAATTAACATTGCGTGAAAAAATACTAATGACAATAACAAGACACTAAAATAAATGAATAAATAAAATAAAAATGACTTATAACAGCACGCTTTTGATGAGCCCCCCTCCCCCTCACCCCGACCGAGTCACTTCCTGCTG